AATTTCATAAATATTTTATTGGGGGCGGGAAGGGCGCAATTTTTTCTGTATACTTTAGACTAAGCTGCCTAAATTGTAACATAATATGTAAAAGCTTAAAGCAACAAATAGTATTCTGGATCCCAGGAATATATAAAAGAAAAAATTTTATCCAATATATTATATACATATTATACATAATACTATTATATTTTATTAGGAACTTGGTATGGGATGCCCCCGTATCCGAGAGTGGCATTTGCATTTATTTTAAGAAAATTTATTTCATGGGAGGGGGTGCACATTTTATCAGCCTGCACATGCCCTGTGAACAATAAGTCCGTACACGTCTACATATTATGCGTCCTTTCAAGTTAATTTTAACCTTTTTTAGTATTTATATGAACTAATAAAAGATAATATTGTATTCGAGGTGAATTAAAATAAAATTGTTTATGACTGGGAATATTGATTTAATATTTAATTCGCACATTTACAAATGAAAATGATGGTTACTATTTATCAACAATTCATAAACTAGGTAATAAATAATAAAAATAACTATATAACTATTTTTTTATAGAAAATTATAACAATAATTCCCAACTACACATAAATTACTCTTATAAGCACTATTATAACATTGATTTACTTTTGTACTTTTAATTAAACTATGTATGTATTTTATTTATATAATAAATATTTTAAATAAATAAATAAATATATTAAATATTTTATATAATATAATATTAATAATCTAAACCTTCATTCTGAATTAGCTAAATCAATTATAAAATAGCCATAAATTAGTTTGTTATTAGTCCAAGGTAATCAAACATCGGAAAATAGTTTAGTTGTTTTAAGAATGGGTGGTTATCTTTCACCTTTATAATAATGTTATTACCAATGACCGGTTTTCAACGGTTTTAAATTGGCTTATATAACAGCTGACCAATTTTAAAATACTGCTTTTTACTTCACATGTTTTGTAATTTGTTATGAATTATTATTTATTTTGTACATAGATATGATTACATATATGGTTATATGAATTATATATTATCTAATAAGAAAATTCGTGATCCTGAGTCAGAGTTTCTGACTTTTGACTCCACTCTATTCTGTGCGCCCCGTGCACTTCCTAAGTCCTAATAGGTGCCCTTGAGTATATTTTGAATCAATAATCTAATATTTTAAGAATTATTTTAGACTTTGTTGCCTCACACTTCTTGGAGGTACTTCGTATGTTTAAGTTGTTGCTCATGATTCCATTTACCACTACACAACTAGGCCAATTTTCGGCAAGCACAATTTTGTCTTCATGCTCTTGTATCGACTTGAGTTTCAGAGGAGGTCTTTTTTAGTGCTATAGCGGTTCCATTATTGTTCGTCACTTTCGACAAGGTGGAAAATAACGTCGGTGGCACATGTTCTTCAATGTTGTTTTTTGTTAAATATTGTTCAAGCCACACATTCGTGTCATTCATATAAAATTTTCCAGTTCTGGGTTGTCTTTAATCAATTATTGTCAACATTCGTGTTTATATTGTACATGTGTTGTTGGTCAATGTGTCGTTTGATCGCGCTGTGATTTATCATTATTTTACATATTATACACAAGTTATAATGAGTGACCATACCGGACTACCTAATTTATTGCATGATTATGTGTAACAGCGTGGCAACACTGGCAACATCAGCTGATTGATTTATTTATTAATTTATTGTGAAGACATTGTGTCTCAGCTGTCAAAGGCTTATACTATTATTATATTTTCATTAGCAACTAAAGGGATAGATTTATTAATTATTACTTATTAGTATATTGATTTATTGTAGGCATTGACCCTGTGTCTAAGGGCCGGTTGTACCAGTCTAGTCTAACACTTAAACCCAGTTTAAAAGCAAGTTTAGTTAAACCACCAATCTTAATGGTTTAAACTATGTTTAGCAATATTTTTGTCATAGATCCATCTGCTGCATTTGCTGCAAAGTGCAAGTTGAAAAGGGCCACAATGTGTATACTTGATTTTTTTATAATAATAGCATAAATGAAATAAATAAAACATTAGTTATTTTACATTTCAAATGTCTATCATATGAAAATGGACTTAAATACTTTATCACTGACACAAAAATATAGAGGTTATCGGTTGTCGCTTTAAACTTACACTCGTTATCGTCATTGTCGGAAATACTTCTCGATCTGCCTACTCAATAAATATAACTGTTCGATGAACGACAGACAGGTATGAGTAGTAAAAATATAATATGAGTAGTAAAATAATTTTCATTATGGTTGAATATCTTTCAATTTTTTTTTCCACGTTTTCCACATATTTATGTATCATTCAGATTTTTTTTCGGTGTACCAGTTACCAACTGTGATAGCAGTGAACGAATCTTTTCTAGTTTTCTGCACTATCAATAATTAAAAAAAAATATGTATGATGGGTAAATCAGGACTGATATAGGCACATATATCTATTAATAATTTCAATAGAGTGTGACTTGCCAATGAATATTTAATTTGCATACGTTATAAGACAACTTGAGGATTTAAATCCGGAAAAATTTTTTTTATACATTTATTAGATTAAAATATGGTGAAAAATGTATATTCAAATTAGAACAAAATATTATTTTTCTATATTAACAATAAAATAAAATTTTATAATCGTTGGGGAACAAATATAAAACACTGTTTTATCAATTAATTATAACTGGGTATACTTACTACAATATACTTACAACTACACTTGTTTTATTTTACAATTATGACAAATTACTAAATCTATAGGGAAAAAATGATAACGCAGCATGTATCAAACACTGTATTATAATGTATGGCACTACTGTAAAATCATGATACGTGTTGTTGCAGTATCAGCGGCGATATAGGTATACATTCTGACGGAGAGCTCGGAGCATTATAATGTGGATATGTATTAAATAATAAACAGAACGTCGCGAATTACAGATTGTCAAATGCGAGTCAGACAGATTAATTCTTAAACAAGTCCGCAACTCCGATTTATGCCTAATTTCATCAATAATATATTTATATATAGTATTTATCGTATATCATAGACACGATAATAGCCGACGACCGCTGACCTTCGACCACAGATAATAATAATAATAATAACCACTTACAGTCCCACTTTTCTTAACGAAACATATTTTTTTCAATCATCAGGCCAGGCCAGAGATAAAAGCTATGCAATAGCTTAAAAATTAAAATTGTTTTGGGTGAAATGTAATAGGCCCACATTATATCGGCCCTGTTACCCTGGTATTGCTAAATGAATGATTATTAGAGATTTTGTTAGTTGGTTTTCGATATTTAAGTTAATAAACTTTTATTACAGTTTATTACTTTTGTTACCGATATCCGCTTTCTAAATTGCATACAAAATTTGTATCCGGTCTAAAGTTCTTACAATTAACGGTTTTTAAACGTTTTTAGAAAAATTGGTCAATAGTTTTAAGCCATGAAAATAGCTAATAACCTAGTTCAATGCAGGGGGCCGTAAACGAAAACAATAATAGTCAGTGCGCCCGAACACTGAATCGGTTACACACACCTTATCTAACACCGACAGACCGACCGACCTGTGTATATTGTGCGAATTTGTGTTATAGCTCAGATAGAAATGGTTGGGTTTACCACACAAGTACTATAGGTAGCTATGTATTGTAAGTACTTGTAAGTATGGGCTAATCGGTTAGGCTGATGGTTGTGTGATAATGGAGGAGTATTACGAATAGAGGTTAAATCTAAAACTCGTGGAAATAATACATAATTGTAATATAATTGATCATATTTAGATTTTATATTTAGTTTAAATGTTTATAAAATAAAACTCATATGATATACTTTAAACTAATGTCATAGTATAAATTAAATCAATTATAAACGGAACAAATAAAATAAAAAATACCGACCTGTGTATTTTGTGTGTATTGAACATTAGTGTTATGGGGGACGGAGCTGAGTGGCCAAGCGGACTAAGGCTTCAGTTGTAACGCTTACCGGTTTGAATCTCGGCCACTGGTGGCATCACTCCGGGCAGGCAACTGTCTAGAGTCTAGAGAAAAAATATTATTATAATTATCCTAAATATTTAAGTCGAAAAACGACTAACTGACTTACATTTTAAATTAATTAATAAGAAAAAGTGAACAATATCCCTGATAAGAGAATCGTTAAAATTATTTTAACCAATTACCGAAATTTTACTTAAACGTTTATTAATGATCGTGCAATTTCGTGGCACACCCAGATGAGCCTCGGGGCACTTCGGTTGGGAAACCCTGGTCTAGACGGCGAGGCCGCCATCCCCCAACCGGACATGGTAGAAACCTCCGGGTGCCCACATAGAAATTCTGTTAAATAACCGTCCAAACCCTACCTTCGGGCCTACATCTTGACATCACGCCATACGAAAAAAAAAATTGGGTTTGCTCGAAAATGTGAGCTTTGTGGTATAGTGATGTGTAAGTGTGTGCCGATCGGCGTTCGATGGTTGGCTTGTCTTATTCTGTGGTTGTATGATAATGGTTGCCGGCAGAGTGCGTAAACAATTTTTAAGAATTATATGTACATCCGGGCGTAAACACTATGAATAATAAAATAAAAAAAAATGTTTATGAACACATTTTGAATATTTATCTGTAATAATTTTTAATTGCTATTATAAAACTTATGATGAACCCTTTATGAAACTTTCAACATTTTTGTCCAAACTAAAAGAATTTATAATGTATAGAAAATGTTAAAATAAACGTTTAGTGAACATGTTAATGTTTTACGGTTATTTGTCTTTTAATTACAACAAAATATTAAATTATGATATATCAAAATGTGTATGAACTTTAGCATTTATAATACATACAATATGGTCAAAAAAAATTATAATAATTTATAGAATATGATACCTAATTAAATATTATAATATTTCTTAATGAAAATGTTATGATGTTTTAATCAATTAATACGGCCTATAGTCGCTCAGATAATGGGCGATGTCCACACAACCGACTCCTTGGGAGCTGAAAAATCACTATCTACAGCCCAATTAAAATCTCAACCAAACAATGTTTATAATAATGTTCACGATATATTAATTACATCACCAAAATCTCCGAAGTCCAACCACACGATAAGCAATAACAACTCACATCTTAATAACGTTTTAAATACAGAAACAAACCCCGAAACTGCAAAAACTAATCCCATCATTTTTTCTGAGGCAATAGCATCCAATGCCAGTTCAAAACTTAATTCAGCAATAGTCTTCATGGCAATTATGGCATAAGCAGATAGATTACCTTATAGAAATTATTAAATTTACAGCACCCACAAATATAATTTCCTCGTCATGTATCTCCAAAAACCGTTTCTATATCTTTTTCAACAACCAAAACACAGCTAACGAACTAGTAAAAAACCATCAGAAAATTCAAGTCAACAATGAAGAAATTACAATAAAAAAATTGATTAACCCGTCCAAAAGAATCACCCTATCTAATGTATACCCTATTATAAATGATAACTCAATAATCAAAACTTTTCAAGGAGTAGGAATCCAAACCACATCAGCAGTATTCCCACAAAAATCAGTTAGCTCTTCAGAATTATTCACTCACGTTACAAGTTTCAGAAGAAAGTTCAACACCAAAGACCATCACAAAGTTTCTAGCTCTCTAGTCATAAAACAAGGAGAAACGTCGTTTCATATCAATATTACAGATGACAGATTAACATGTTTTCTTTGCAAGCAAGATGGTCACATACTTACGACATGCAAATACAATACTGAAAGTTATTTAGAAACATAATATGAGAAAGAGGATTCTTCCCCAAACAATGGCGCAAAGCAATTATCATCTCAATAGCCAAACCAGATGAAAACGAATTCCACATAGAAAATTACCATCCCATCTCTCTTATAAGCACACTATGCAAATTACTCGAAACAATAATCAACTCAAAGCGCATATGGTACTCAGATGTCTCCAAAAAATTGTGGATTTCGAAAAAACCACTCCACTCTCAATGTTTTATCCAATATTCACCCGCATATATGTAACACAGTCTAAATAAAACAACATACAATCATCGTACTCTCGACTTAACAAAAGTATAAGATATGGTCTAGAGACAAAGATTAATTCTTATCCTATGCAAATGAAACACTACAAGAAACATAATTACATTCATCGCCAATTTCTTACAGGACAGATAATTTCAAACAAAAATTTGTGAAACATTATCAATCACTCATACTATCAAAATTGGAGTCCCTAAGGGCTCAGTCGTCCGTGTCACCATGTTCTTAGTCACGATTAATAATATATTTAACAAAATCACTCCCCCTATAAAAGATCAAAAGTACTATACTTAAATAGATTTACAAACAAAACACATAATTTTAACCCGTCGTTGGTATCGCTATGCAAAGTCCCACTATTGGTATTTAGTGTGCGCTGCGCTCACCTCGTTGTTTTTTCATCATTATTTATTATATTATAATGAACATAAAATATTGAAACCAAACAACGAACTATTTATAGTTCAATATTTTAGAAAAAACGTTCTTAAACATGATCTAAAATATAAATTGTTAACCACTAAAAATTAATTTATAATTTTTTATACATAATTATATAATAATATAATCATTATCATTCATCTTCACCATAGTGGTCTGGATTATTTGGCTGATTATTTTACAGTACGCATATGAATGTTGTGTGCTCCTTAAAAATAGGTCTGAGTTTACGAAAAAGTATTTGGTTAACCTAATGAGTGAGTGCAACGCTCAATTTATGGATATTAACAACATTGCATGTCGATATCTAATCAAGAATTATATAAGATTATTATACTTTCAAAAGTATATTTAAACATATGTCAATTGAAGGTATAAATAGTATCCGGTAATCAAGTAATAAATGAATAAGTGGCTCTCAAAACACTAACTAGGTGAGCGCCGCACTTACATCGCTATCAATGACAGGTTAAAAACAATAATTTTTTCGATATGCTCAGAATCTAAAATAGAAATACTGCTAAAGATAAAGGATAAATCTTAAAACTCCTAGAAATTATAAATAATTATAATATAGGTTATTGATCACATTTTGATTTTACATTTAGATTTAACAGTTATACAACAAAACTAATGTGATAGTAGATAAATTAAATAAATTATTAACAGAATAGTATATGTGTTGTAACCATGACAGTAATTGTACGAAAAAACAATACGTGTTAATATAAACTAAAAACAATTAAGTTGTTTGTTGTAATGTATAATATAATAACAATACCTATTGTTTAGAAAAATCCGATATAATACATTTTTGTCAGCAATATTTAAGTGAATTAACTGCAGATTAATTAATCACGAAACAGTAGGTACTCGTGTGATATTTGTTCAAATCATAACTTGTAGATGCACCATGACGACACACCAGCGGACGTATATGAAGATGAAAGCTTATCCATGCGATGTATGCGACATGTCATTCAGTCAAAGTAGTGGTCTGACAAGACATCGACGGACCCATACTGGCGAGAAACCATACGCATGTGATATATGCGAAAAATCGTTTACTGAAAGTGGCTCATTGACGAGACATCGTAGGACTCACACGGGCGAGAAACCATTCAAATGCGATATATGTGACATGTCGTTCAGTCAAAGTGGGAATTTGATAAGTCATCGACGATCCCACACTGGTGAGAAGCCTTTTGCGTGCGATATATGTGACAAATCGTTTGCTACAAGTCATACTTTGATGGATCATCATCGGACTCACACGGGCGAGAAACCATTTGCGTGCGATGTATGCGACAAGTCGTTCGCTGAAAGTGGCTCATTGACGTTTCATCGTAGGACTCACACAGGGGAGAGACCATTTGCGTGTGATGTATGTAACATGTCATTCAGTCAAAGTGGTCATTTGACAAGACATCGACGGAAACACACTGGCGAGAAGCCTTTTGCATGCGATATATGTGAAAAATCGTTTGCTACAAGTTACACTCTGACGAATCATCATCGGACTCACACGGGCGAGAAACCATTTGCGTGCGATGTATGCGACAAGTCGTTCTCTGAAAGTGGCACATTGACGTGTCATCGTAGGACTCACACGGGTGAAAAGCCTTTTGAGTGCGATATATGTGACAAATCGTTTGCTGCGAGTTTCACATTGACGTGTCATCGTAGGACTCACACGGGTGAAAAGCCATTTGTTTGCGATTTATGTGACAAATCGTTTACTACAAGTCACACTCTGACGAATCATCATCGGACTCACACGGGCGAGAAACCATTAGCGTGCGATGTATGCGACAAGTCGTTCAGTCAAAGTGGCGGTTTGACTAGACATCGCAGGACTCACAATGGCCAGAAACCATTTACGTGCGATGTATGCGACAAGTCGTTCTCTGAAAGTGGCACATTGACGTGTCATCGTAGGACTCACACGGGTGAAAAGCCTTTTGAGTGCGATATATGTGACAAATCGTTTGCTGCGAGTTTCACATTGACGTGTCATCGTAGGACTCACACGGGTGAAAAGCCATTTGTTTGCGATTTATGTGACAAATCGTTTACTACAAGTCACACTCTGACGAATCATCATCGGACTCACACGGGCGAGAAACCATTTGCGTGCGATGTATGCGACAAGTCGTTCGCTGAAAGTGGCGCATTGACGTGTCATCGTAGGACTCACACGGGTGAAAAGCCATTTGCGTGCGATGTATGCGAGAAGTCATTCAGTAATAGTAGTAGTTTGATTTCTCATCGACGAACCCACACGGGCGAGAAACCATACGCATGCAATGTATGCGACATGTCGTTCAGTCAAAGTGGCGGTTTGACTAGACATCGCAGGACTCACAATGGCCAGAAACCATTTACGTGCGATCTATGTAATAGGTCGTTTGCTAAATGTAGAAATTTAACGATACACAAGCGGAAACACACTTTAGTTCTATGATGGCCCAGATTTAAAGAGGATATATCAAGTTATCATATTATTTTAGCACTGAATGTGTCACGTTGTCGTTTCTTAATAGTTAATACTACATTGCTAATTCGTAATATTCATAAATAAAAATTATAATATTTTTTATGTTTTTTTTATGTTCGTTAAAATACCATACTGTTTATTTAATGATGTTTCTTAAAATATATTGGAATATGGTCTTCTCAAAGTAAAAAATATCGTTTGTGAAATTCCTGACTACCTAATTTATTACATAGTTTTGTGTAACAGCGTAGCAAAACTAGCTGATTTATTTATTAAATATAATGTTAAGTTATTGTATAGAGTCAATAGTATAGATGATGTGTCTTAGCCGTCATGCTATTATTTTATTTTCATTAGTTTCTATAGCTCTTATTCCATTAGAGATTTTATAGGCAGGGTTTTCATTTGTCCTTTCACGTCATCATTGAGAATCACTGGAAACCTTTAGTATTTGTGTGACTGACTATATTCAATACATACTTTTTTAGACGGCTAGAGTCGCTATTCATCCATTGTAATTCAACCATGGAGTCAGTCTAGAGTTGAAATTCATGTGAGTTTATTTATCAGGCATCAGAATTCTTGACAACAAACTGTACCAACAAATTGTCCCATTTAGCTCTAAACGGGAAATATAGTTACACCCTCCATTGGAGCTACTCTAGTGTTGCAACACGAGAATTGTTAATGCAAAATCCTATCATGTCCTAATGAGCAGACGTAAATGCAGGCCCCATAGACCTCTAACGATGCATCACAGAAGCTAAGCATTTCAATTTTTTGATTTATGTTAAATAATATACTTTTAAGTGATATTGACAGGTTATGACAGAAATCTAGGGTGTTGACCAATTTAAAAAAATGTATCATTTATAGAAAATATTAAAATATTAAAATTTGAAGGGTCTATTCGTTTATTAATTACAACAAAATAATATAACCTAGAAATTGGGTGAATTGCCAGCACCACCTCTTTCAAATTTAATACCAAACCTTGACAGCATTATATACTCTTTTTTGTAAAATTTTGTACGGTTAAAAAATAAAATGTTGTACTATACTATCTCATAGATAACATTAGGAAAAATACAATTTGTATAAGTAATGAATTATAATACTATAAGGTAGATACTGACCGTATGAGAGAATTTAAATATACTTCCTACGGAGTATATATTTTTACTTGTATCATTATTAGGTTGAGGTACAGTAGTCCGACGACAAGGGTGGACTTAATTTTTTTAAACTAAAGAAACAATTAAAAATA